CAAAACCGGATAAGTCCATGTACCTGATGTGTATATTCATCAAATGCGTTAAGTTTTTGCAAGTCCGTAAACAATAAGATTAGTCTGCAGATCTATATTCTTCCCCAATCAAGTTGGGTGTCGATATCGTCAATATTTAGAGGCTTAAAGACACAGACCCAGGAACCGAACTTGCTACCGTCCTGACTACCACCTTACCCCCCACCTACCTGGGTTGGTGTTCAGTCCCAGAGATCGCGTTAGTTCTGCGCCGACCACCAATAGCAGCTGAGGCTGGCGGAGCCCGAAATACCAGGTCGCCACGATCTCGCAGCGCTCGCAGTCCGCCGCCGCCACTGCCGCCTGTCCCAATGGCACCAGTAAATCTCGAACCTTGATAGTGGCCATGACCAGGGTGGTGGAGCACAAGATTTGGGGAGGAGGTGCTTGACGTGGCAAGGGAAGAAGTGGAGGGAGCCGGAGATATGGAAGGAGTAGTGGTGGTAATTGGTGTCACAGCCCCTACTCCTACCAGAGAGAGGGGTGAGGAGATAGCGGTTATGGAGGAGCCCCGACTGGTGCCACGTGATGACGTTGATGAGGATGGTGGTGTGGATACCGCAGCTGTTGTCGTTCCCTCCGAGGAGAGGAAAGAAGCTACAGAAGCGCCAGCAACTGGAAGATAGCGGCAAAATAAATGTCGAACCGGTAAGTGGTGATGGTCGGTAAGGTTTCCAACGGCATGGTTGTGTGCTATCTTACATGCCAAGATTAAAAAATCCTTTTCTGTAACTGCAACATTTGTGAGGTAAAACTGATGGAATAGTTTATTAGAAATGATTTTGTTAGCTCGGGCCCCCAATCTTCCGGTCAATGGTGCAATGCTTCGGTTGAGCTTCAAATTTTGTGCCTGCATAGACGCAATGCCAACAACTACGATTTCTCCAAAATTTGCGAATACATCATAGAAAAACGAGAATACGTACTGTTCCAGCCAAACAATTTCAGCTTCCCGACTTTTGCCAGAACCTCAAAAACCAGCACCAACGTTCAGCATGTTCGTTCCTACATTCCCAAATCATTTCTGTTGTTACAATCTCCCAAAATGTACAGGTGAAGTTGGTTGAAAAGCCCTTGATGTCTCACACTTCAGGGCACAATACCAATACCAATTTAAATGCTTCACCTATTTGAAATAAGTGATGGCAGGAAATAAACTTGAAGTTCAAGTATGGTTCTGAAGATTGACAAGAGGCATAATCAAAGGTAGCGATAAAGAAAACAAACACTGTACATTATTTTCAGCATTTGAGTAAAAAATGAGGACAAAATTTAACCAAGAGACCAAGTGCTCAATAAACGGAGCCTCAACTGGACTGTCAAAAACGACCTCGATAATGTTGGCCAGAGTTGCGTCGGTGTTGATAGACCTTGCCCTTGCTGCATCATTCCAACATTAGAAGTCAATCAAAGAGGAAATGATGGTGCTGCTGTCGGGACTGCACCTTCCCACCGCACTATATTCAGTGAGGCTTGAAAATAGGTGCCAGAGGGCACGGACCAACTTTATTTACAAACGATGAATCTACATTAAAACTATCGAACAGAGTTTATATATGCTCCGAAGGTTTCGAGGAAACAATTTTAACCTAGTCATTCCCACTTTTCAGCATGTTTAAATGGCACGGTTATTATTGCCTTGCTATTGCATAGTGAAAGTAGGTCCAAACAGGAGCATGATTGCACACTTCTTAGCTTGAATGACAAATTCCAACTGCATGAAATTAATCCCTAATGCAGATAAGCTGGAATAAATATAAGAATAATTTTTTCTTCCTAGTAAAATATGCTCAATTTTATCTTTACTATTATAGAAGTCCTCAAGAAACGCATGATCGTAGTAAGCAAACAGATAGGCAAAACACCGCCCAAACGAGGGCTGCAAATGATGTACCCTAAGTGATAAATCAAAGCGCACCAATCGGCATCACCTGTAACTTTAAGAATAGCACATCTCACCATTTGCAAAAATGAAGATTTAATCCGCGTTTTACAGCACGAAGATAGGGAGGAATTGTTTCAATATGAAAAATGTGATTATCTATTGGTAAATACGGATACTTCGTTGGTTCTTAGAAGGATTTAGGATCAGAATCGGAGCATGTGACGATAAGAAAGCAACCCTCACAAGTACGAGAAAGAGTTAGATCAAGTCAACGCGGGAAAGTTGCTTGTCTTTATATTGGAGATGTACGAATTAGCCATTTACATTCGCAAATAATTCCGAGGTAGGGAGTAGAAGTATTCCTTGAGGGCTTGCCAAAGACACTATTCGAAGAGAAGTTCATTCAAATACATTTATGGAACCACTCCAATGTCTTCTATGAGTCAGAAGAATGATACAAAATAAGGAATGAGGCCATCAAGGTCGAATAAATTGTATAGGACGAAAAAGTTTAATGGAGAGTGCAGCGACGGGACTAAGGCATAGTTTTAAATCCGAAAATTAGCAGGAAAAATGGAATTATTTATGCATAAGAAGTTGTACCCACCGGGAGTGGGATTATTGATCATTACAGGCCCACTGATAGCAGGTCGTTTAAGTTTTCCGGTTGCATCCAGGCGAGCTTTCAAAGGAGGCATTTGACGCTGATGGAGCGGTTGTTCGAGGGACAGGGCAGATGGCGCTTTTTCCGACGCTGCCTGCGCAGATCGACGGGTGAGCGAAGCGCTGGACTTGCGGAAGGCACGAGTCAGAGTGTGTGTAGCGTTCGCGAAGACCCCATTACCACCGCTAACCTCATCAATATCTCCCGCTTTACCCCGTCTCAATGGACTGTTGTCGACTAGAGATGTACGTGAGGTCCGACCCACACCATCGGTAGAGCCGCAGAGAGTTGGTGAGGATTCCTTGTATCGCTCACTATAATTTGAATAAGGGAGAAAGATCAACAATGGAAGCGGCAATTGGTGATGAAAGGAAGTGGCGAGGATTGAGATGACCGGAAAGTAGTGAGTGGATTTGTAGTTCCATATATTTTCCTTCAAAAGTCAACAGCTGCACATGTGGAAACGCCCAAAGCGTCGGAACCGAAAATTGGGCCAATCTTTGGTGGAATTGTGAAAAGTTTATTTGACGAGGATGCAGACCCATTCATATGGCTGATAAACAGGCAGACTGTTCATTTAAAAGTAGCTGGATGAAAAGCATGTGGATAAGAAGTGAATTTGGTGTTAAAAAACAAGAAAGCATGCTAGGACAAGAGGAGCAAGCTGACACAAAGCAGCCACTTCTAGCAGCCATTAGGAGTTAAGTCCCATACGACGAGAAGTATCCTCAGTTTCATCACTTCGACTTCAATATCGTTCTGTTTTAAAGTCTAAGTTGAAACAACTCTACTACCACGCGACTATAAACTCTCATTATCAACATCGCGAAAATAATGGCTGTAAATGGACTGATGATCAGTTTAAAGCCACATGAAAACGGAGGCAGTCCCTTGCATTAGAGAAGTTTGCATTTCAGCTAAAATCCAATCATACACTTTCCGAAAAGTAGTCGAGAAGAGTTTGCTCAGGAAAACAAAACAATTCTTCAAGCTGATATTTTCGATTCCCCTTAGGCCAAAAAAGAATAAATCTCGGCAGCAACAACTTGTAAAAGACACATTACTAGGAGATGAGACCAAAGATAAGGGGAAAGGAGGCGGTACCCTTCGTTTCGATCCCGCAGTGAATGTAAATAAGAGACAATAAAAATCAGTTCAACAGTTACATCCGTTATTTCCAAGTATAAGCAATTCACTGTGGAGTCGGATTTTGAAAATTCTATAAAGAGACACATAGCACAAACAGAGTCAAAGGAGGTTGCCGGTGGCGCATGCTTTTGCTTGCAATGGAGGAGCAAAAAGATACGGCTCGATTTATAAAATGAGGATCTGAAGACCATGCAACACTGTGACCGCTGGCGATGCTAGTAATTGCCGTAGAGAAACTCACGGAAAGTAGTGCCGGGTGAGAGTTAAACCTCGTCTTGTTTTCACAAACCACCTTGGCAGAATAAAGAAAATAAGAGGACACGTTGAATCTACCCCAGAGATCAGCATCTTAGTGAACAGATTACGACTGAGTATTGATCTTGTCGAATCAGTGTAAGTTAAATAGACGAAAACAAATCTATTTCACAAAATAGGCACAGGTGAAGCGCTTTAGTCCTTAAGGCTCACCCATTTGTATGGTCAAGGCTGAGGCGCTTCGTAGAGGTAGAGTTGATGGTAGCATTGGAGCAAGATGCCTCGAAGGGAGTGGCTTCACGGCTTCGGGAAGGTTTAGGTATCACCGAAAGCAGGGCAGATGAAGAAGCTACTTCCTCAGGTGGAAGTGATGCAGCATCTCTCTGCAGAACCGTAGACGCTAGGGGTGGCGGTGATTTCGGCAGTTCTGACACTTCAGGGTTTGAATGGTGCGTCGTATTGGTCGTCGGGACCGTATCCACCAGAACTAGTCCATCGGTTTTGGCCGAGAGGCACTGGAAGATCTCATCCATGAAGGAGGAGCCCATATCGAGAATCTATAAAGGGAAATATTAACTTAGAACTTTAAGTGAATATGATACAAAGAAGGTGCATAAATGCCAAGATAGTGAACAACGATTATTCATCCGTCCCAAGAACAGTAAGGGGACAAAACGATTTATTTCATCATTCCAGTCCAGAGAAAAGCATTTGATAAACAACTCCTGAATAGAGCGGGGGAAGCTTCGATTTACTTAAAGACGCTATTTGAGGTGGGTAAGAATCCCTTACTCAGCATAGATTTGTGCCAAAAAATATAATTTTCGGTCATCAAGAATCAAGTAAAATAGATTGTAACTAAAACCCACTGAAGGCTCTGTATCTTCAACATTTGTAGTTCGAGTGGTAAGCCAGGGGGAGGAAGAAGGAGCGCTGACAATTTCCGTGACGGTCGATGGATTGATAGAAGTGAGGTTTGAGTTGGTAGCAAATGGAATTCCACAGTTCTCTGGGGTAGTGGCGGTGGCGACAGCCTGAGGTGTCATCACTTTAGTTCGATCGGTGACAGAAGAATTACGACCAGCGCGCTGAGTGATGAAGAGGTGTTTTAAGGGAAACTTTACTGCCGAGTTAGTAACGTTGCCTCCATCTTCATCGATTCGATAATGTAAAAAAATGGTAGTTCCAAGGAATCATACTCATGATGTTAATAAAGGAGGTTTTAGTGTGAATATCAAATGGAGGATGGTGCTACCTTCCAATCACGACTGGCATAACTCAAAGTACTTGCGAAATACGAATCTGAGCCAAAGGTAAATTAACCAACGAGAAATAGTAAAGCCCCCCTTAATTACGAGAGAACCTGCAGCAATAATGAGATGAGTTATGAGAAGATGAAGCAAAAACGTCCGAAGCATAAAAATTAGGACTGTAGCCAATAGTGGCGGAAAACAGGGGCAAAAAAATAAGTCAAAAAAGGTGCTGTCCACCGGAATCAGTAATAAAAACCATATTTCTGTATGGACAGCCCACTGTGCAAGAAGAAATATGATCATGTCTATTTGAAGGTCGATATGGAGGCAGACGATTGTCATGACCCCTAACACATCCGACCACTATAATCAGCTTTGGCACAATACGGTGCTTGGAACTGAAGTATTTGATTAAATAACCCAAAAAGCGTGACACATCGCGCTTTCGCATAGCAACACGATGAAAGTATGCATCATACTGAAATCTAAAGTCTGGCCAATGACTCATTGGGGATGGAAGAAGAGCAGTCATTTGTCAAGGCTATTGTTTTGGCGAAGTGACAAAGCCCACATGCACACTCCACTAACTAAACAGAGGGATGCTGGTGCGTCCGAGAGACTGACCCGGAACAGTCACCAAGCCAATAAAGTCCCTATGTTGGCAGTAAGGTGCAGAGGTTGCTGCACAAACTTATAAGTGTGAAAAGTAGGTCGACACATTAGAGTTGCTAAAAAGTTACGGTTTTAAGAGACGTGAGTAGGAAGATCTGAAACCAAAACAACGCCGAAAATTTGTGACAATACTCTGTGGGTTGGACAGAAAGGTGGAAATCGTACAACGTACTGATGTAGCAAACTCGTTGAAAGGGCACTGGCGTGACAGCACAGCAACCAACACCTTGGTAACGAGCAAGGAAAAATGTAAGAGCTACCTCGCCTGTTGTAACGCCGGAGAGACGTGGGTTCTCCTTGTCAGAAATGCTTTCAATGGTCATGCAGCTGTCCGCAGGACTCGGACCTAGAATTTGTAAAACATGAGATTTCATCAATTAATGCACCATGGTGTACATTCTGAAGGCAGTTACTCAAAGTAGTAAAAATGGTGAGCACCGTAGTCGAGGTGAAGATTAAGCAAAAGATGTGCTTCGTTTTACAAAAACGATATCTACTTCGATTTTGCCTTCAAGGTCCCTTAAGGCTCTGTGGATTCAGTCATAAGTTTGCATATTGCGGTTCACTCCGACCATGTTCAGGCTACCCTCGGACGCATGTAGATTCCTTAGGCAACCACAGGGACGGAGAATGCAACTTATTGACTATGTAAGAAGTTCACGAGGGTCCAATTCTACCATGGCGAAATCTTTGAGGAGTCAAAATGAATCAACGATAGAGAATGAGAACAATAAAGAAGGACAGTTTAAATTGAAATAAATGGTGGATTCAAACGTTCATTGTGTTGAAAGTGAAAATAAAGCGACTGCGAACACAATGACATAATCATCGCAAAGACATTTTGTGGATCGTCTGTAGTGAGGAAACTTTAAACATAGTGGTCCGCAAATTCGCTGACTTTGCGGATGCGACACAAATCACCAAGACGTAAGCAGAGATTCCTGCCTCACCTCCTTCATTTTCATCAACGTTGTCGAGGGAGAAACCGACATCCCCGAACATGGTACCATCGGCACCCACATGCCCAACATGGCGAAAGTCGTTTTGCGGCAGCGATATGAGATCCCGGTTAAATTTCTTCCCTCCTCTGGGCGAATTTCGATTCGATTCTATTGGAAATAAGAGGTAAGCGAATGCCAGATCCCAAAGCCGTCCTCAAGCGTTGAAAGATCATGCCGACTGCGTGGTTGGATAAATAAAGTTAGGAGGATAGGTTAAAGAAAGCTAAGAAAACCTCATTGATGAAGAACAAAGCTCCAATGCCAGGATGATGGAACAATGTTAGACTGATCAGTCCAGTGGCTACTTCTTCATTGGGTACAAGTAAACCGTTAGTCAAAAGTTAAAATAGGAGAAATATGGCGATAGCCGAAATGGTAAGAATCACTAATGGCGTCGAAACAACAGAAGTAAGCAGAAGTAGGAGAAGATAAGGAAGTAAATCACCGCAATGTGACAAAAAAATGAAGAAGAATAATAAAACGCATCCGACCTTTGCGAACAGCGAAAGGAAGGAAGGATGGGAAAAATAACATATGAAAAGGAAAAGTAAAGCACAAATAGCCATATCGTTTTATGACTATGGGTAAGGAAGTGGAAAGTAGGGAAGCGGCCAAGTTGGAAAAAGAAGTGAGTTCAATTTAGCATGTTATGGAGGCGTAGTCTTGACTAGTAAGAAGCCGAAGTTAGTCGTTAAAACGGAAAAAAATGAAGTGCAAACTCGCCTGATGCATCAGGAACCCAACTGAAAACGTAGTGAGTCATGAATGCAACCGGATATGCGCATACGTAAGTAAGCATTATCAATGCCTCTTAATGTTTTTTTTTGTGAAAGAGCAATCACCAATGGAAGCACGTGTGCTATTCCGAATAAAAAAGCATTCCGACTTTGGGCGTGGATTAGCCCAAGGCGTGTTTCGTCAAAGTAAATTGTGGCCCGGTGAGTGTGGAGTGGCAGAGAAGTTAGATTTTGTGGGTGGTGCCAAAGAGCATGCAGACTCACGGCCATATTCAGGTAGACTGACTTCGGACCCTATAGAATTTATAAGTCTGTTTCAAGACATAGCAGAGCAATGAGAATCTGTCCCTTAAACAACGGAGGTAGAGAGCCCTACTTACAATCTTGATTTAACAAACAAAACGTCCAATCCTACTCTCATTAGCGAATTAAGCTTTTAAATGGTAGGCAACAAATTATATGAGGGGCGTTAAGTCGGAGAAGCACAAGTTTCTAGAACTTTTTGATATAGTTTAATGTCTTTATAAGCTCCTTTCAACATTCAGCAAATTCTGAAATACTTAGGCGAAACGATTTTAGAACAACTTCCATCGTAGCCCTCAGAGTGTAAGGTTCAACTAGTATACGAATTCGAGCCGGGTTATGCGACAATCAGACCTGCCACCGAGAGGTCCGTCGATTTGCCATCTTTCATTGCCACAGATCATCTTACAAACCCACTCATCATCACCGGAGTCCAGTGGCTTGAGAACCAGCACTTTATATCCGCTCGCATATGTACTGATTGGCATGGACAAAAAGTAACAACATCGGCTACATAAAGCATCACTACTGATGATTGGCCAGTTGTTTACTGATTCAATAAACTGATGAAAAACATTATGCAAACCTCTCCAAACCTCATGGCCAACGTTATGCTGATTTTCATAAAATAATCCATTTATGGGAGAGTGGTGATTTTGGAACAGACAAATGACCACAAAGTAAACTGTCTGCTTGAAAAGCAGGTAATATAACTAATATGCCACTGTAAGCATGGATTTACGAAAGAAATGAGTAACTCTTACAAATTGCCTTATCAGAAAACTTCTGTTCTAATTGCACAACTCTTCAGCCTCCATAATTGCGTTAACCATCACGATTGCATGCCACTTCATGCTAACAGCCCATTGACCTTCCTTTAAGGGTTATAAGTCCCTGCTTAAAAAACTTTACAAGTTCCCCGACAAATTGAAGAAGGGAGAAGAATCGAACTGTTTCATCTGCAAAAAATATAAACAGCTAACCCCGTCGGCTGAAACGGAGGCGCATCCGTGAAAGAGTGGTGGCGTGGTGATTTTGGTGCGGGTTTGTACCGATAGATCGCAAAGTGGTAGAGTCAATGGTATCTGGTACAATTCGGAGATTTTCGGGGGATATGTGACCAACCTGACAAGTTGAATGGGACACCACCTTCCATAACTCTGGGTCTCTGAAAAACAACACCAAGTTACGGAAGATTTAATGCGTTTCCTGGCCTGCTGAGGCAACGCAGGCAGAAAACTTCATGACTAAATTAATGACGATGAGCAACTACTAATTATCAGAGTTAAAAGAATGAACTTAATTTACTTTTTAATGAAATGAACGCACAGCTATTAAGAACATGCAGCCAGTTATTCAGGCATGAGTGATTTTTTAATTTGGCCTCAGTGCCAGAAGGAGGCTTACGTTACAAAAGAATCGGTGGAAATTGCCACCATTAAACTGCAAATCAACTACAAGCAGTAGCATCGCAAAAGCACAGAATCCAACTTTTCCATAAGTAAAAAAATGCCTGAAAGCTCACTATCCCTCCTTTGTTTCAGCAGATATTTCGTGGGAATAGTAAGGCAAAATGTTCAAAGCGCCTAGATAAATTGGAGCCGAATCTCGAAGGCCATCAAGAAACTCTAAATGTTCACTATGTTGATCGCAGAATGAAATAGGCCTTAAGGTATTTTCTTTTGCTAATAAGACTGAAGTTGGAAAACTGTCGAAACGACCAATTCAGAGGTGATTCAAGATCGAAAAAAAGAGCTTACCATCAGCCCCATGCTTATTTGGTTGCCTTACGTCTGACCAATTTGGCTCTAACACGAGCTGGCCCATCTACGTATCAAAGTCTGACTAGCAACTCAAGCTACGTACTTGTAATACCGATTTCAGGTGCAAGGGCTTCCGATGCCATTTATTTTTAGCAGATAAAAGTAACCAATCCAACGTTCACTCCTTAGGCATCCTCAGTTAACAAGAGTTGAAATTTTCAACAGCTAACAAGTTACAATAAAGGGCGTCTGTGGGAAGCGGAATTAACAGTCTACAAGATTAGGTAGCATTGTTTCAATAATGTAATGACACATCAAAAGAACGAAAATTTTCAGTTTAAAAGTCCATAGCCCTAGCAAGGGACGTACTTTTTGCTTAGCACATAGACTGTCTCACCGGCACGAGCACGCAGAAGGGTCTTATTGCTTTGTGCTGCAGAGTTCTCAGCATCGACTGCACCTGTGCCCCCATCTGCGTTGCCATTTTGAGGAACATTCTCCGTAAGGAGGTTGCGAATGTCCTCCACAGTGTGTGGAACAGACGACCCTGTTTCTCCGCTATCTTCCACCACGCACCACGCCTGAGGACTCAAATGGGGCAGCATTTCTATCAGAGTTAGAATTTAAAAAATAGCGAGATGATATTGTTTGATAATAGCATTTCTTCGGATGAGAAATAGGTGGCAAAAGAAGATCTGTCAAATTTAAAATAAACGCGTACTGGGTACATCGTATAGGAGAGTCTAAACCATGCAATGGGGGACTAACAAGTAGTTGCGATTAAATAACAGTCCCTAAATTTAACAAGATCCAGTTCAGAAGAACGTCTAAGAACTTTGGAAATGCGCTTATTAAAGATCCGCATCAATGGATATTCGATTGCAGAGCCTACAATCCATCGGGAAAAATTTGTAGCTTTATGCAAAAATGGGAAAAAATTGAGTATTGTGGTGATTAGCAATCCGTTACAGTATTTCTTTGCTGGAGTTCCAGTACGCCAGTGATGAAATGAATGGGGAAGGACGGCATGGCATGACCTACATAACAACAAGCACAACCTTTGAAGGCGGAGAAGGAATGCACACATTATTCCACAATCCCAAATTCCGGGGTGTCAGACGGAACCCCTGCATTAAAACAGCAGCACCTCTGATTATTTGACAAGAGCACATCCAAATTTTCGTCTAAATAAGCTGGAATTAAATAATAATTCCAACCCAGACGCGAATCTTGATAATGATGCCAGCATGCTATCACCAAACTTTAATAAAAACTTAAAATTGGGCAAAAAAAATGGGAAAAGCAAGCTCAGAATTCGTGAGTGCGAAAATATTTCACTACCTACAGTACGAGGCATGAACTTTAAACCAGTATTTAACTCTAAAAGCGTTGTTACCATAACTGAGGCCAACTTCTCTCAGTTTCAAGTGCGTCAAATGAAAAAGGAATACAAAGAATCATGAATCAATGCCCTATAAAACGAAGACTCACTTTTTTATTATTCTCCTTTCAGATGGAAGCAATATCTACAGCTGACAAGGAGGATTTGAACTTTAAAATGCTTTGTCGAAAGGAAGAATCAACGACTTGGATTATAAAAAAAAACATCTAGATGATTATTTAATTCATTGTCTCACTATGCAATCACCAAGGCATCTCTCATTTTTTCTCCCGAAAAAGTAGACGTCCTGTAGTAATAGTTGCGAAAATTCGATGGTAGGCAGGTGAGCGTCAAAATGGGAAAAGTGGCCCCACACACACTTGATTTCAAATCAACTAACTGCCAAAGTAATTTGGCGACAAAGTAAGGCATTGGCCGGGTGAAGAATAACAAAGCAAAAAATAGCCACCTTGAAATGAAGGTGTTCCCACTCCCGGTGACACACGCCAGTGGAGCAGAGGGCGCCAAGATGTCGGGATTGACTTACCAATCCTGACGGCGTCGACGTTTCAATAAATGGACTCGGTTAGGCAGAAACGTATGTCTGACGGCAAAGTGATGCAGAAAATTTAATTAAAGCAATAAGTCAGAATTTTGGTGAGAAATAACGCATCATTTAAGTCCTGCCTACAGCTCGACTTCAGTTTTAGTCCAAATACAAAGACTGCCGCAAACTACTTCATGGACGTTATATAAAACGTAACAATGGAGTTAGAAAACATTACGGTTTCTGAGCCCGGTAATACCTTATAAGAAATTCCAAGATTTCTACCATTTTGTGCAAATAGGGATTGCGTATCGAATAATCAACGTCCGAAGCCCGTGTCACAAGAAGTGAGATGCTGGTTTTTTTTCAGTGACTGGTTTTGCCTTTGTGCCGGGTTTTGCGAAGGCGATGGGTTTTTATGGGCTCGAAATTCGATACACGCGGAAAAAAAAGCAGTCAACACTCTACTCCGCTGACTATGCAGGTTCACGGCTCGAACTGGCAGCACCTACACCTTCAATACGAGTCAGGGACATTCGCCAAGGCAATTTCGCCAACAAACACACATCATATGGATAGTAAAAGCTCACTGCAAAGTCGTACGATTGTCATCGCCCACGAGGCAGATCGATGAGCAGAGAGGAGAGTTCGGGGACAACAATTCGGTGCTCAAACCCAATACATAAGCAATGCGCTTAAACTTGCCGGGCCCCTAAGATAAGCATTTTACCACTCATCATCATGAAGAATTTTCGTTGTAAGCCTTGATAGAGTAAAGTGTTTACAATTTAATGATGAAAAAAACCGCTTCACGGTATCTGACATCTAACAGAGTGGTCGTTTCGTTTTGTAAACCTTTTTCAGCAGTGCAACTCTTCTTAATTGCAAAGCAACTGAATAGCGCACTTTAAGCCAAAAATAAAACCTGTTGCTAGTGGTTGTAGAGGGATTCTACGAGTTAGAGACCAAAACAATTTTTGCATGAATTCGTTGTATAGTATGTCGCAATACTAAATATGAAGGTCAAAAATGTAAAACTCAGACTAAGCGTTTTATCATCCTAATGCCAAATGAACCTGGCACATTTTTCGATCCAGCTTGTGCTGCGTGACGATACAGTTGCTTTGGTGAGCAGGATTCACGGATGACTAGCACTACGCAGGAGCAATAGGGTAATTAGGGCACAGATGAGTCGAAATGCCGATGTATGTTAACCTGCTGCTTATAGGCAGCTGAGCGCAGTAGTAAATATAGACAAAAGCTGAATAACTTAGCTAAAACATGATGGAACCGCTGCATAACCCTGTATTCCACAGGAGGGGACGTTCACATATTTGAATTTCATTGTGAAATTGGCAAAAAAACACAAATATTCAAATAATCAAGTAAAAGAGCAGCAAGTTCACCAATTTTATTTAGCTGGCAGGAGGGAAAACCGACTGGAAAGATAAATCGGAAACGACACTAACCGACGAGCTGGGTGAAGGTAGGACGAGAAGCAGGCTCGTGGTTCCAGCATGCACGCATAACAGCATCAAAGACAGCGTCCGGACAGGTGTCCGGTTGAGTAAGACGTCGACAATTTGGCACATCAATAGCCTCCAGGATCTGACGACCCGAGAGGCCCGCCCAGGGGACAAAGCCGTAGGTGAACATCTCCCAGAGCGTCACTCCGTAAGACCAGACATCGCTAGCGCTGGTAAAACGTAACTCGTGGATGGCTTCCAGTGCACACCACGCGATCGGTAAACGCAAATTTGCGTTGAAATTTGTCTGATAGTAAGACTTGCCCAATTGTAGAGCTCGACTCAGTCCAAAGTCGCCAATCTTCACCTGTGATAAGACGAGGCACAAGACGAGTGACTTAGAATGCATTATTGAAGCAGAATACTGACAAAACAATCCTAGCGCTTGAGAAAAATGAATTAAACTTACAGCTCTGAGAAGGCACATCAGAATATATTAGTCAAAGTATGAATTCCAAGGAAGCAAATGCATAGGTAACTGACCCCTGACGATGGATTAATAGGACAAAAAGGTCAGAAACAAGGGTTAGAGGAGAAGTCTCTGCACCAGGAGGCTACAATGAATGTGCGAACGCGACTGGTCCACCGTACAGGCGTATTCAAATGTCCTCATGCATGAGAAAGCGCAAAAGTTTGAATCAAGGTACGAAATCCATGAAAATGAATTCTAGCTTTAGTAGGCATAGCGAAGTAAGTCGGAATACCGATCGCGAGTGAAAGGATTAACACTCAAACCTTAAAGTTTTACCCAAATAATCCATTTGAGCATTTGAAAATAAATAAATCGGATGCTGGAATGAATACTTACGGAGAAGTCCGCCCGAGATGAGAATCATTACCAGTCAAGACTGCCAACAGAGCCACTAAGTGAGAAGGCAAGTGAAAATGGTTGGGTCTATAGTAATTTTGTTTCAAAAAGAGTGATCAGAGATTGATTCGTATTGAGATACACAAACGATTCATTGAAGTGCAAAAGTATAATGAAGGCACCATAAGTGATTTTATCAAAGAATGAAAATAGAGGTGACATAGGCACTAAAAATTTTTCACAACACTAATGACCCTAAATACCTTGCAATTCACCTAGTTCAACCCTCCATCAAATTGCACACAACTTCAGCACTTCATTTTACTGTAAACCATCAATGGATGCAATGCCTTGTTATGCAGTTTGCAGTCTTCTCCTCCTCGTACCGCTGATAGTAGGGGAAGGGATAGAGAAAACAATCCTTTGGAAAGTGTACAACCTCATTGGAAGCAGAGGAAGTACACTGATAAACACGGCATAAGTAGCAAGCTTTTCTGTTTCAAACGAGCGTATTACATGGAAATGTTTCCTCATCCTGAAAGACGCCATTGATACTCTTGAAACGAATGCTTTGACGGAAACCACAATGAATGGAATTTGTAAGTAAAAGCCGAATGGCAAACTCCAAAATGAAGAACATGAAGAGCTTCTTCAACTGCCGTTGTCATGACGCATCATTTGTAAAATCAATGTTTAGAAATCGTTGTAAACTGAAGTAAAATAGCAGTCACAAAGTTGTGTAATGTGGAGAGGATGGGACAAACGAATCACGCGATTGCCAGCAATGGCTGCTGCTGCTGCTGCGGAAAACTGAATCCAAAGATTTGGAAAGTGTGACCAATCGCCGAAAACACAACCTAGTCGAATCCAAAGTGCACAAATTATTCGATGGTGGTAAATAACCAACATTCGATAAAAATTACTGTATCGACCATGATAAAAATGTTACAGTTTTATGTTAGAGATGAAATTGGCTGTTTAAATGTAGACAAACAAACATAAATTTTGCAATAAGAAAGTCCAACAAGCAGTGGGGGAGATAATGTAGAGGCATCACAAAGTGAATAGCCAATCACAGCGGGGAGGTCTGACTTCCGTTAAAGGCAAAAGGCTTGTGACATAAAACTAAATGTCATGCAACTGCATCAACCTACTTACTATTGCCAACTTAAAAAAAACGTAGACTGTGTAGAGAAGACGCTCAAATTATTTGTTCATTAAATTACAAGATGTTATTTTCTGTAAACTTCATTTACACTGACCAGACCCACCTGTCATGCTCAAAAAATCTCCAGGAGGAAGTTACAAGGTACAGAACTTTCGAACTTGAATCGTATGCACAAAGAGTCCAGTCATTAATATGCGGGTTATAAATGATTTCTTCGACTCATATTTATGAAAGCGTTTCAATTATAAAAGGAAGTCACATTAGTAGAATACATGCCGAAAAACTGGGTGTAAGTGACGTCTTCGGGTTTCCCAAAGTTGATAACTTAACATGCGTAGTACTGATCTAAGTTAAGCTGCTGAGCCTCCACTATTTTTAAAATACCGATTCCCATAACGATTCAATTGAGATAAGAACAGTGAGGCGAATTCCATAACAAAACCACTCCAGCAATATCCACAACCTCACATCCAACCAGGCAATGCTTTGTTTACTGCACAAAAGGGCATTAATCAGTCGGTTTTGGAGTTATCAAAACCGCTCATCACTCCGAATTTAATGCTACGCAAATAAGCCTAAGATTGACCGCTTTGAATCTTCCTAAGCTGGCCGACGCTCTAAAGGACACAAAACTACAAATTTTCCATAATCCATTTTTTTTCGCTAGATCGAACAAACGTCCAATTGAAGCACAAATCCCAACAACTGGAGTAAATTGGAACAGCATACCTTATCCTTGGCGAATACGAGGATGTTGCGTGCAGCGAGGTCACGATGTACCAGACGCTCCTCTTCCAGGTAGGCCATACCACGTGCAATTTGGATGGCAAAGTTGTGTAACGTGGCCACGGGAAAGGAGGCACGTAGGTCGGGCTCGCGCAGACACTCCAGCAGAGAACGCAACGGTGCAAGCTCAGTCACCTGAAAGAATTAGGGGGAAGGGCAGAAGGGTGAACCATTGATATCAGCTTTGGCTAACAAAATCTATCCCACCGCCGGATTAGTAAAGCATTCCAAGGGCACAAAAAGGACACCGACTAAGTCTGCAGGAAGTCATTAAAATTGCAAAAATTTTAAGGCATAAGTTAGTTGGAGATTCCATACAATGGACGGCAAATTATGGGCGCGGTTAGGTTCAATAACATCACAGCGTGTGAAAATTTGGACGTAATTCGGATGCAAGTAGCTACCCAATGCTATAAGTTATACTGAGCAGCTTTGTCCTTGCAGTAAATAGCATAAAAAGGTTTTAATTAGAGTACTACTCAATCTTCACCAAGAGTTATTTGAATGATAACCAAATTTTCAACAGGTTTACAGTTTAACGATAAAGTGGACGTTTTTGAAAATGAACCGAGCAAACACTCCTCCAAGCTGCGTTCCACGGAGGTGAGATGCGATGTTAAAAATGTGCTACCTTACTAATTTTCTACAGTCCAACAAATGCCGCGCTCTGATTTGCCATCATTAAAGCGAGGGAACAGCGCCAACGATTAAGCTGCGCGACTACTATTGAGTGACAGAAAAAAGTATGCAAAAATGTTGGAGTGTAAAATCGTCAAATGCAGTTGAGTGAGAAAAGGCGAAAGATTTATGGAATATCGGAGGTCAAAGGCAAATAAATAAGTGCCGCAATGACAGGCAATTGAGGACACTACTTACTTCAAACACCTACGTACGCAGCATCATGTGAAACAAAGTTGGATAAATAAGCTAAAGGGAGATTACAATGTATAAGTATAGTATTATCCAAATATGCTAAAAAGGCATTACTAAGAGTTCTAACGTACAGTATAGAAAGGGGATAGAACTGGAGAAATATGGTTGCGGGGAGGGCGAAATTTCTACAAACCTGAAAGCCGAGGCTTTGTAATTGCAAAGAAGTTGTCATATCTTTTATGCCATCTTAAGAACAGTAAGTTGTGTAGACAAGAAAATTTCGCAAAGCAAGATACTTTGGACAAGTGATTGAAATGAGATGACCGTTTTCATTACCCTTAAAGACTTATTCTTAGTTCCTGTGTTGCAGCAGCATAGCTCTGTTCGAGATAGATTTATCCAAATTTTGTAAGTCTACAACTGGTAAAAACTAATTCCTACAAACCTCTATGCAAAAGAACAATGGGGGAATAAACGAAAATTCTTAACTATCTCTCTATTAAGGACTTGACTTCAATCAAGAAAGTGACAGATGGAGTAAACGAAACCAAACCATGTGTCCGACCCGAAATTAGGTGATAAGTTGACAACAAACCACTTACCAATCTCAGACACTTGGAAGCAACACAGATGCCATATAATCGAACTATGTCAGGGTGGTCAAGACTGTTCATAATAGCCGCCTCCTTTAGAAAGTCATCCAACTTTGTTGGAAAGCGTTCCAAATCCAGAACTTTTACTGCAACCTGCAGCTGCCTACCCATAGACGCTGGTCGCCATGATCCCTGCAAAAGACAGATCATAGAGACCTTAGATTGATAATTGAACTGACTACTGAAATATTTCAGTAGGAAGCCGTCAGTTACGTCATGCTAAGAATTATAAAATCTATTCATATTGAATGAGGCTACCCTATTCTAACAATAACAGTTCGACCCCGGAATCACACTGCACAACGCTTGAGTAGGAATAACTTTAAAACTCAAATATATGCTAGATGGAACTCCGATTCGTTTACGGGCACCTGAGCGCATAGTAGAAAATGCACCTCGCAATGAAACTGCAGCCATCATTCCATACAGTCCCCCGATGCAAAATTTCACATATACTCTTCTGAATTCGCAGCAAAGGACTGTAAAGTTTTGACATAGATGCATTTGTCTGTATGGCCAAAACGCCCTAACACAGCTTTCACTCGGCGACTTTGTGGAATTGGAAATCGTCGTAAAGAATTTAGTCACCTCTACGGGAAGGGTGATCTCATGGGTAATCAGCTATCTCACGCAAGTGACAACGCTCCATCGCCATTACTTGCAGCCAACGAGCGCGCCGTTTATGACCCTCCCTACGCCGTTGCACGTACACACTAATACTCCGCCCTAATGCCTTGATTAACAATGTCTGGGCTACCCCATGAGAAGCATTGCAATGCTACCTCATCTACAACAGCACGGAGTGCTAAGCGGTTGTCTACGAAACCGAAGAAACAAAATAGCTTTAACCAGTTTGAAAAGTTATACTCATGCGAATCAATAGAAAAGCTGCAAAGAAGTACCCAAGTGTGAGAAAATCGGGATATCAAGAAAAGGAATCAAAGAGCCGTTCAAAGTCAAAAGATAGAACTTAGGACACATCTCAGTGGCTGATTAGCTTTCAACCATATGCCGTGCTTGTATAAAATCCGACCTCAAGAGCCATTTATACTCATTCTGCATTCGGTATTTAATTATTAAATAGCGACGACGTATGCACAATGAGAGCATGACTGCGTAATTTTTCGATGAATGATATCCCAATTTGTGGAGTGATCACAATCCCATGTATGTGGGGTGGCATAGAAGCATAGGCCTCCCGCCGTTTTGGTTAACAAAGAAAATCTAGTGAGATTACAGGTCGGAAAAGATCATAGAACGTCCGGAAAAGAAAGGTGGTAGCAAGCCCACTACAAAAAAACAACTGTTGGTGCTAACGTCCTACTGGACCTCATAGAAAGAAGTGACTAAGCGTCTCTCTGTCCTGCCCCACAGCTGCATAGAATCTGCAGTGGTTTTGAAGCCAGAAGTTATAACTTAAGCTATGAGGTGTAAGATCTTTAAATAGGGAAGTCTGAAAGGTCATTACAAGGGAACCACCACACCCATATTCACTACTGTATCGCCTCTATCAGGCCATCGACACCAAAACATTACTAACAGGACAGCCTGTGCAGACGTAATGTTTTTTGCCTATGGTGGTAGTGAATTGGCAAGTACATAACCACGAAATTCTGGAATAAATCGCTGATTCAATAGAGCTACTGTAACTACAGCATAGTGGTAGTAAAGCAACTATTGTCCAGCAAAACTTTCCTAACAAATTATCAAATTCGCCAATGCAACCAAGGAGACAGGCAGGAGGATGTTGAACATAGTGAACAACCTATGCACGTAAAAACAACGAAAATCTTGCATAAATAATTTTGCCGATTGAATGCATATCTCTAGCGATAGGTATGGGGCATACTGACCCATATGTGGGCATAGAGGCCCTTCAATCGAATGCTACCAATCCTTGTTGTTAGCTTATTCTAGCAACGTAAGTAGTAGAGCTAATTCAACTTCAAGTTTACACTTCTGACTAGATGTCACACCAAGGCGCCCGTTGTGGATGGCTGAGTCTCTAGAAATCAGGTTTACCTTGTGCAATCACCTCATAGCTGAGCCATGGCTAAGGAAGACTAGAGTCGAGCAAATTAAAAAAGGTCCCGTACACTCAATAGCACCCTCGATGTTGGCCCGTGCTGCAAACGAACTAACACAAAAAAGCAAGGGCCATAAACGTACTAGCTGTATATTGTAAAAAAAACTAAAAGAGAGAAGCACTTTGAAGAATTAAGACCCATTCATCCGCCTTTGTTGCCTGACTAGTCGTAGTGACAGGGCCGATGAGTAACGCATGAGCAGGTAAGTTTACAGAAGGCCGGATTTTGGGCTGTCATCAACCCATATGTGTGCATGCAAGCACAATCTAGACTTCCTATTGGCTGCGGGACGAAGGCGACTTGAGGCGCGGTTGAGGCAGTGGAGAGAAAAATTTTAACGGACGCAGCAGAGCAAAAGGGAACAAAGTCCAATCAAAGCAAAAGGATGCTCACGTCCTTCGCTTACAAGAAGGAGTTACTTGCGACCCTTATTGAATGTTCAAGTGGTCCAATAAAAGAGGGTTTGATACAAGCAAGTAGCCATTTCTCAAGGGACCAAATAGAAAGAAGGAAGCGGTTCCAAAAGTGCCACTTGCAGGAGAAAAGTGTTCGTGTATCGAATATTCGACATGAACAGACATGGGGAGGAAAGTACAGCAATGTGAACTTATAACCGCACTGCTGCATTTATAACGGAACATACTTCAGGCTACACCATTAGCGTAATATTAACAAAACAACGTGGTTCAAAGAAGAATAGTTGTTCGAATTTGCAGATAACTTGTTTGCATGACAAGGAAGTTACCACAAACCCGTCAAAAACACAGTTATCGAGCGCATCGGGGGCAGCAGAATGATACTTGCTCATGTAAGAATAATCTTACTTTCTCGCAATCCGGTGCCTATGCTGACGGGGTGAGACTATTCATTCCACCTCTGTCTCAAGGGGACAGATGACAGCTTTACAGTGGTGATTTTATCACTCTACTTATGATGAAGTGGTGGACCATTGCCAAACACAACTTATTAAAGCAAATGCTGCCCCATGAATGAATGATGGGTCGAATCGGCTACCATGGAAGGAAATGGTCTACGAGTGACCAATACCTCAGAAATGCGGCAGAGAGAATTGATGTTCGTGATATATCAGCTTCCACGATTAATAAACAAACATGAACTAAAAATAGAAAATGATGAACTGGATCTTGAGGCCAAATAATGCTGCCTGAAGAGCCCATGGATAGCATACACAAAGGCTTGGTTACAAATATAATGACAATGGGAGCTAAAAGAGTGAGTAAAATAATGACAGACCTTGGAGGTCTTGCCACAAACTCGCTTTACACAACACAAATGGAAAGTGCAATTCGATCAACTTGGAACCCTTCCATTTTAACATTACTTAACAAGAAATTTGCAACAATGCAATTTCTAGACGACAGCTTCCCCCATCAGAATGGGCAGAATGCATTGTTGGTGTCGGAGGAGGAGACTCCTGTCCTGAGATGAGAATGCGTTACGATGTTATTTCCATTCCTAGGAGTTGTCCAAAACATGACGTCTACATTACTGTATTATTAAACTCAACCAAGACCACATGTGTCGACAAAACCCTATGCCACCACAGAAAACCGTCACAAGTACGAACGTGCAAACGTGAGAAGGTAGTCAAAAAACATGATACTTATTGTGCACGAATGCAATTATAACCAACGTTGTTGGGGAATGAAGCAAGATTTCACTACGCATTCTCACGTTCACTAACAACCGAGTGTAAGGGTGGGGAGATGGAAGCACTGGCGACTAACAGCGACGAGGTCAAAGAAGATGAAGGAACCCTGCTACCTGCACAACAATTAATGACTCGTGAGGAAATTAAATTAACCATAAACCAAACTTCTGATTTCGCGCCCAGAGCAAACTTAGTCACGGTTTGCTAGGATGTTGACGGTATCTTATGCAGTTTAGGTAAAAATATCAATGAAATGCAGTATAAACTGCTTGTTTGAAATCTGGGAAATGAAAGTAAGCCAAACCCAATCAACAGAAAAACAGCATGGGGGACTGAACAAAGTAGGTGATCAGGAAGAAAATTCCTTACTGGGAAACCAGCCAATATGCCGCAAACAAGTACCTCAAAAGGGGAGAATATGCTGAAAGGGATGGGTATCACAGTTTTGAACCGAAGTGGGTCCATAAACAGGCGGGAAAATTACCACTACGCAATTCGCCAACAGAGACGGTAATGCCAATAATGGTAGACAAAACTGCTTTATCACGCAGGAGGATGGAGTGGCAGCAGTAGTTTGCATTAGGGACTTGGTGAGTCACTGCAGTTAAAATAGATGATTGTGTGAATCACTCACCATCGTCGAAAACGCTAACAAAACCAGTTCTTCAGAGAAAGTAACACACTTTTGGCCTCAGAGGAACATTTCACTCTAATACAGTATTGTGCGCTTGCACTCAAGAATGCCATCTATCTAGCAATCTTATCAGTCGAAGGGGTACGAAGAACATTTCCATTCAATTAGTCTGACTGGCTTTTAAGTGTAAAGAAAGGATGTTTGTTCAAATGACAACCTTGAAGATAAAGCACCCTGAGGTCCGTCTCACATCTATACTGTCTCAGATCCTACCAATGTCCTGCCATGTCTCCCGGAATTGCAATGGGACGCAACAGTAAGGGCAACCGTAGAATGACTCAACCTAAACAAGCGCCTTTTTAGATTTCGTCGCCCAGACGCCCCATGAACGTAAATTGGCAAAGATGGCTGCTGTGAATAACAAGATCAACCCACACACAACAGGGATATCGAAACCACTTTGATTACCTCAAGTTCCTTCAATTCGGAGTTCCAAATAAAAACGAACCAAGGAGATCTGAATGACCTAAAGCTTATCCAGTGCCTTCATCATAGTAGTTTCGAGACCTCAATAAAGGTCAGTGACACTTGGAATGCACAAACACCATTCAACATCGCCTCACCTTGAGCACCACCCTTAAATCAATTTCTCCCAGATGCAGCATGTTCCGCACATGGCGCAAAATTAAGGAATCCAAACTAAATTTACATCAAGTAAAGTCGCCGTGTCACCCTTGATCCCCTTTTGGTCAAGAAC